CTCAAGAAACCTTCAAAACCGGAACTTTCCATGAATTTTGAGTTGTACTTCTAGCATGGGGAAACTTAAGTCAGCCCACCCATTCGGGCCTGCCGAAGCTACGTACATAAAGGGCATGACTAAGTTACACTCACGGGGACCAAGACCTGAAAGGGCAAAACATAAAACCAATTCAAGCTTGTATTAAATATGCTTATTAGGTAAGTAGTACTTGACTGTACTACCACCTCTACTCAGTAATCGGTTGTGCGAAATTTCTATAGATATAACTAGAAACCACGAGACTTCAAACANAACCAATTCAAGCTTGTATAAAATATGCTTATTAAGTAAGTAGTACTTGACTGTACTACCACCTCTACTCAGTAATCGGTTGTGCGAAATTTCTATAGATATAACTAGAAACCACGAGACTTCAAACAACTTTATCTGAGAGTAGGACCGAGAAGGGTTCATTATTAGAGTGGATGAGAAGCTGACTACAAAAGTGAGATTTGGATTCGAGCCTTAGCTGTGGTCGATGGCTTTACCTACAAATCGGCATCGTAGTAATAGAAATTGTACTGCCAACTATAGTGGGTGGTCAACAGCGGTTCATAAATGGGAAGGGGAAGAAGACATGAAGATTCATGTCCTCTGTGAGCTCTTCACAAAGAATCGGAGAGCTTAAAACTATACAAACGCGGCAGCTCAAGTGAGTTGTTGTTGTGGGGGGACTGCGAACATTTCACGGGAAACAAAGGATTCTGGGGAGCTCATGACGAATACCCACAGAACAAAGGCGTTTATATCCGAGCGTCTGAAAACATTCGTCCTAAATATCAGCCTAGACATATCTCGAGGATTCCGGAGAAATTCCATTCTTTCATCGGAAATATTTCTATTCAGCCGATACGGCTGTACACTTTTCTGTCAGCCCTGTTATTTTCACCAAAGATACAGACTAGAGGGATCTACGAAACGTTCTATAAGGCGTTGTTGTACAAAATAGAGTGCAACTGGTTCGAGCCCTAATTTTGAAAAGTTACATTGGGGTCCCGTCAGAGGCAGAAGGTTCCGAGCGTCACTTAGCACCCAAAAGCAGCGATCCCCTCACGATCTATGGCGGAAAACTGCAATAACAAAACGGAACAAGTTAAATCCAAAAAGAGTAACTGCAAAAACGTCGTGGAGCTGCCTTCTGAGGCTTCGTGGTGGTTTTCTTATCGATTCGTTCATGCGTGCATTGTAAAGGAGTTTCCATAGGCGCTCTAATCCATTGGTCTGCCCATATAAGGGCGAAATAACATGGCCTACAACCGAGGTTCGTATAATCATTTATATATAAGTATATAGACTAAATAGATCTAAAAATCAACTTCTATATAGGTACTGAATAAGTACATCAAACTGAAGTTCAATAAGTACATATACGAACAGAACAGATTACTGAGATGGGCGGAGTCTGTGATGCACACTCCCATGTTGTAAAGATGGACCACGGTTTCGAAAGCGCTCCCTGCTTTGAAGATGAATCCAAATAGAAAAGTATATGAGACACAACTTGTTATGAGTTTATGTTTCTGCTAACTGGTGTTACTCTTATACCACATCTACGGGTTCAAGACAAGTCCGAGACCAAAGTTTTGTCCATAAGTCGTCAACATTGTGGACAATATGAGATACCCCAGTGGAGTCGAGAAATCGCTTTCATGGCCCATTTGAATTGATGGTACCTAACAAGCTCCCTCAAATTCACAAGATACGTCGGACCACCGAGCTCGCTACTATGGTCCTTGAAGGGAGAACTACAACAGTAAGGCTGAGGAGCCCTAAAGCTCGTAATGTGGGAGTGACAATACATCAACCTCCCCTTGTTTCTCTGAGTTATTGGCCACCCTTTACAGAACTGTGCATCGCTTAGTTTGTGCAAAAACAGCTTCTATGACTGTCAAAACGAGAGCGTGTACCGGTACATTAGATACGACTGAGCAATTGTGCACTGGCCCATAATCCATGATGGTCTTTTG